AAAGTGAAGAGGGAAAGAAACGTATCTTGCTTACGTCATAAGACATTGTGCGATACCAAACAATATATTATCACCATACGTAAATACATTTTTAATCCGCGCAACCCACTGCAAACCTGTCCACCGTCCTTTATGACGTGAAAAGTGCGAATTGGGCTATAAACGAATTACATAGGAAAAATAGAAGCCTCCGTTAAAGTACACCGTGGCACGTATGCAAAAAAAAGCTATCAAGTCGAAGCTCTCTCTATTCTAGGCATATATCACGAAGCAAGTGACATGTATGAGGATTGGGGATTTCAATCCTCAAAGAACGATCATAAGAAAGACTGTTAGCTATTGGTTTTGTTCAATTTTGTAACGTATTTATCATAGGTGTACTCCAACCAGAGAGGATTGTCTGTGAACAAACTAGTATTCAAAGATTTATCAGGCCGATGTGCAAGAACGTATATAATACAATAGACGTGGTGTTTATCTCCTAGTGAATGGAAAGCTCTAGAACCTGATCTGCGTGCAGATTTGCTGGTGTGGATTATCCGGATCAAACCAGAGCTGAACTGCACGGAACTGCTTCTGGTGCGCGCAAGCTGTTGTTTCCCATTAATAGAACATACAAGCACAACAAGCTCGTACGGCAAGGTTCTGCAGTTGACTATGAATAACATACTGTCAAACAAAGCTGGAAGCACGCCGTTGTCGGGGCTTCTGAGCCACAATTTCAATGATAAAGTCTAGCCTACACAACAGGTCTTTGTTTTACGTTGGTTACATGTACCGTTTTTCTGATCGCTATACTATTCTGCTGACTGAAACTACTTACTCTGTAGGTGACGAAAGCCTTTAGAAAACAGAACGGGATCGGCCCCAAACAAAGAAAGAAAAACGGTTGTGCCTTGGTCCTTTTTGTATTCAGAACCGTGCTTTTTTTCCCAGAACCATGCGCAGGTACAGTTCACAGAATAGTGCTTTATCCAGAACCATGCTAATGCACGATTCTGGATAGTACACTCGTATACAGAACCGTGCTTTATCCAGAGCCGCTCTGGATAGTCCACATGTATCCAGAACTGTGCTTAGAACGTTTTTGGATTCGCGGAGACCGTGCCTGATCTTATCCCTAACCCATTCAGGGCTAGAACTAGATAGGCACGGTTCTGGACACATGTACAAATCGGGACTCGAATCGTACTAAGCCAAAATCTGCCCTACATGTCGACTTAGCATTGAGACTGCTCTCTACCTCCATCCATCTACTCTGTTTTATTGTAACGAAGAGTGGCAAGATCACTGAATCCGATACGGCAAAGCTACAATTCTAACCGGCACAACCTTATCAAAACGACAACTGCTTCCGGTTCTAACATACATCAGATGCTGAAGCGGATTAATTACTTTGGCAGCCGTCATCACAGGCGGACTATATCATGACAGAGGTTACACCATCATATTACAGGCGGATTGGCGGAGGGTCTGCATGGGGGGTTGCTGGCAGCAGTAAACGGTAAAGTTAGGTGGACGACAAATCTAGGAAGACGGCAATGCTTAACGGTAAATTTAAGAAGATGGAATAATTTTTCTGATAAATTGATGGCAAATTCTGCGCGCGCTAGATTTGGGTATTTTAATTGCCTAAATATTGGGAAAACTAGGCTGCAGTCATTGACACAATCGGGCGTTCCATTGTCACTTTGAGCAATCGGACTCCGAATAGCCGGTTTGAGAATTTATTCAATGACGTCTATGCCAAAATCGGTTTGGCTCACATTTTGCGCATTGATAGCACTTGGTGTACTAGATGATAACTTTCTTTCTGCTCGACGGCAATTGTTGCCAAGGTAACGAACCAAAAAAATGTTGGGACCATTTACCCTCATACGTCAACAACACAAAAAGCGGAATAGTCTAGGACCCAGTTACGAAGGAATTATTAAATATTTCGGATATAAGTATACACAGTGCTTTGAATATTCGTGTACTCTGTACAATTTTCCTACCACAGAATTTATGTCATCTTTTATGGCTTTACTGTACTAATAAGGCCTAGGTTCCCTCTGCTGTATATCTGCTTACGGCCTGACAACTTTGATGTGCCCCGCACAATAAGCTGATTTGTTGCCTGGCGAAGCAAATTAACCCGGGGCCTTATTGTTCTCTCGTGTCGTCTTTTACTTTCATCAGATGAGGCTGTGATCATATTACCGGGATCATTTCATCGGGAAGACTGTACTCGCTATATGGACTCTCGAATAGTCTACGTATGTTATGTGCCATATAATGGCCACAACAACAATATGGAAAGCATTGGAGACGTTCATAGGTGTATTTTTTTGTCTACGTCTGCCAAAGTCGAATTGAACCCAACGCAATTGTTGGGTCTAAACTTTGATGTTTACGATTTAGAAGACATAACGTTTGATAAGTGCACAGCAATTGAAACAAAGCTTTCCTAGAAAATCCGAAAAATTGTTCCTTTTAGTCCATTTTTTTCGTAACACGTTTCTATGCATCGTTTCTTCCCAAACTATATCAATTTTATGCTTTTGGCATGCCCAAATCAGGAAAAAGTGTTTGCATCGCAACAATCGGCTTTGAGGACAAAGAAAGTTAGTTCGTTTATTTTGAATTAGAGGCTACGATTAACGGTGAATTAAACTAGCGGCTCACAGAAAAAGGCATGCAGACCCTCTCGGATAGCCAATCATCATCAAGCGATGTTTACTCGGTCGCTATGGCAACAGATGATACGAATTAAAGCGAACAAGAACGATTCACGAATAGTTTCCCGACAACGCTTATTTTTAATTAACGGCGAATTAAACTAGCGGCTCACAGAAAAAATGCATGCACATGCAGGCCCTCTCGGATAGTCAATCATCACCAGGCGATGTTTACACGGTCGTCATGGCAACAGATGCCACGCCTGGTCCCCACCACGAAATAACGATGTCACCCTTCAAGGTTAACCTCCAGCTGAGGCTGAGCCGAGCTGCGGATTTGCCGTGAGCTAATGACGTGCATATTGGAGCTGGAACATCTTGAGGCGGATTATATAAAGGCCGTGCCACGCTGATGATGCGCCAGGTCCGCTTAGCGTCAACCCTATTCTCTCATCTCCGAATCATAAAGGACGATCACGTTCCCATCATGCTGCACGCAGGACCGTGTTTTGTCTAGCGGTGATCTCTCATGTGCAGGGACGTCTTGTCAAAATTGGCGATACGATCATCTTGAACGATTCTACGGTTAGTACAGAATTGCAGGTACGTGGTGGCCCGCATACGCACGGTACCGTGCAATGACTGATGTTGGATTGGAGAACAGTTCACGGTTTATACAAGGTAAATCTTGTGCGGGAATTAGCTGGGCCAGGATTGTTTGGATCATGATGTTGACGCGGCGGCGTATGAACCAAGACTGGGCAATGTTTTCAGGCTGCTGAAACACATCAGAGCGGCCCTACTGAGGTGTGTATCTACTGCACGGGAAAAACGATGCACCACTGAGATCTGAGGCCGGGGAAAACACTAAACGGAATCTGATCGCCATCTTGAATGGGGTCGTCGGTTTCGACCAAGGGAAGGTCAAAACAGGCAGCCCCGCCGCGGAACCGAGTCCACGCCGAGACGACGGGCAGCGATGGCTGCATCGAGGCGCAGTCGGCCAGGAGGACACCTCGGCCCGACAAGCGCACCTCCGAGCCCACGGTGGTTGTGGAACAAGGTACGTAACGTACGTGGTGTTTGCATAAAGCCACCCAGATGGTGAGGTCGGCCTGCTCAAAGCGTTAGCGCGTAATCAGGCACGTCTTACGCCGGGCTTTTAGGCAGCGTTTAACGGCGAGATTGGGTTGTCATGTAGGTAGTCAGCCGCACAGCTGGACACCGCTTTTGTCCCACATCCAGAGATGCTACCAATGCGGTACATTGCAAATGTTGCAATAAACTCTAACACATATCATAATGCCTAAAGCTTTGTACCTATATTACCGACATCACCCCTTATTAATCTTATTAATGCCCACGACCTATTTATTCATAGCCATCATATTACAGTAGCGTTCTGAAGAAAATTTCAGAAGCCAGTTTCAAACTGTTGCAATAGACCGATTCTCTAGCAAACAAAATCTGCTCGAATAACCGACTTTCTTGTCGTGCTTTTATAAGGTCCCTTTCTGTGTCTTAACACCAGAGTTATTTATATCGCATTTGAATGGGTAATAGTTCACTAATTACTCTGTCATGCATAGATGGCTAATGTAATACTGCTCGTCAAAATTACCTGCTTCATTTATTCATTCATTCATCCATTAATATATTCATATATTCTGTTACTCATTCACCTACCGAAACTCTATTTAACTTCATTAACATCAAACTACACACAGAGAGCTGATTTTTTTTATCTCTAACCTCAAAGTGTAGATTTTTGTTTAGTTCGGAGAAAATATTAATGTTAGTCTTATGGGCAACACATGTACTCAATTCACTAAGCAACTTTACAGGCCACGTTTCGTACACCTTGGCGTTTAGCAGCGAAGCCAACACCCTGCGCACTGTTTTTCAGCGTGTCTTCTGTTGAAGTGTTAGGAGATATGTTTTTGAACATAACACAAGCCGTCCGTTTTGGTTAATGCACACAGATATGGAAACTCAGAGACATACACATAGACGTGGGCAATCTCCTTTCAGTTTCTTGGAGTGGAAATAATGTAATATTGACTAATAACATGGAAAAATCCCCTTGGCAATCTTCCATTTCTGATAACATTTTGTTTGTGTCATTCAACTATTGGCAGTGTCACTCAGCCCAATAGAATCTAGGAAGAGGTGTGTGCTTATATAGTGAGAGTGTTTGTGTGTGATTCTGGTAGTGTACGTACGACAAAAAGAGCTGATGACGTTTCGTTACAAGAGTTGCAGTATGTTCTGTAGATCTGCAGTCTAGAATTTGTCTAGATCTGCAGTAGATTTTATACAGCTGCAGTTATAGAACTGCTGTAGTTTCTATAGAGCTGCTGTATATTCTTTAGTAGTTACGTTTTGTAAGGCTGGGCAGTTTAAGATACAGTTTAAGTATAAATGTACTGTGCTCTTTATGATCATATAGTACCTACGAACTGTAAAAGATATCTCAATAAATGGTCCTCTATATTCTGGTACATGGTTCCATGCCCGAAAAAATTACCAGTTTTGGTGCACATTGTTTAAAGGTTAAAACTGTCGCCAAGGAAACAACGATTTTTAGGTGGATGTGAATTGTGTTTGCGCTAAATGAAATGGGGAATCTATTCAGTAACTCAATAGCTGCTGAGCCGTTTGAGGTTCCCAAATTACTATGGAAGTGGGTTATTACGTTACATATAATTTGAGCAGGAAAAGCATTAAGGTATCATTTCTGCAATCTATACATTAAAGATGTCATTGTATAAGTGTGGGTCATGGATGTGAAATTATACGGTATGGTAAACGATTGAAAATGAGTGGTTATTACGTATTCTTAGATTCTATTTCGGAAAAATGTGAGAAAACACATTAGGACTGAAGCAAGATGACACATTTAGTAATAACTGCGATCTGAACTATAATGTTCATAATATAGGTAATGTGAAGAACATTACTATGATTTTAGATGGACATCATTTAGAAGCAAGTATCAGTAGAGATTTTATCCCTCAAAAATAAGAAGAAGAAAAGAAGAAATTAACAGTGTCTCAACATAGAAGTGCCAGTACAAGAAGATGGTTAGATCTTTGCTATATAAGCTTTGTTGTGGGTCTACTTTGATTGATGACACAAAAGTTGCCCTCAAAACGTCACATTGATGATTTTAACATACTTTTCCACGGTCATTGACCCAATGTGTTTGTGCATTATGCCTAATTAAGGGAGTCCATGAAGGATATCTGCTGTAATCATATCAAATTTTGTTACACAATGCCTCTGTCTATTGTATGTATTTTTCGTAGGCCTAACACGTTCCATATACTGTTTTGTGTATCTATTGCCTATAACGTTCAATTTATACTTTACTATCATTATCAGTATATATATGTAGCTTATGACTGAAGAAAATTTGTATCTACAAAGAGGTTCATTGATGTTTTTAATCTTGCTTCAGTATTTTGGTTTTGTCTGTTTGATTTCTGTCAGGATCCGTGGCACTTCTTTGTATTTGTTTTTGTTACTTTTGCAATAAGAAAATGAAGAAAAAAGTCATCTAAGCGCATTCATGTCTACAAGGCATTTACTTTACAGTTTGATCCCACGTGTCAGTATCCTGGATACGAAACTGAGCATGCGCTGTTGGTACATTTTTGTGGCCATCGACCTACCCGACCTGACTATCAAGTCATGAAAAGCATCTGATGGATCCAACTGAATTCTGAATTTGGTCTCAACACATCATGATTGTCCTGTGCTATTGTAAAGTCTACCTCAAGACATTCTGTCTTTAAATCTATTTCAATCTATACCTAAAGGACCATATAAGAACTTCCTATATGGATATTTTCTCTATGGACAAGTACAGTGCATTGATTTTACTACACTTACTAATAGTCGTAGTGATCTCGGTACATACATAAATCATAACCTACTTAATGGAACTAATAATAGTTTAATCCGAACCACATTTGATCCGATTGGGATAACATTTCACATCCTGTTTTTAAGCCGCTTGTTTTTAAGATCATGCAAGGTCATATTTGGTGAAGTGACAAGGACAAGATTCATTGAGCAAAAGAAGATTGTTTCACAGTCTAACATTTGACGACAGGAATTCATAGTTTGGATGAATATCTATTCACATTTGGCATGTACGTTTTATCTTGATAGAGCGTCATTGTTTTTGGTAAATCATGAGCAGCCAATTCCTATAACCTGTACATTTCACAGGTAATTTTACAGCAATAAAATGTGACTAGTAACACATAATGTTATTTCCTGATGCCATATTTTAAACGCGTACCCAACTATATAAAAACGTCTTGATAGACACGTACTCTTTATCCCAACAGCTGCTGTGGTTAACATGTTCTACGTTCTTATTCGATGATGGCTAAGAACCATTGGCGAACTGCCTCCAGCTCATATGTTTCACCTACTATGTGAGACGCCATCAGCTGTCTAATATAATCAGAAGGTTAAGGACCCTTGAGAAACCTCCTGACCTAATTTTCTTTGACTGAGAGCACTGAAGAACGATGTACTACTTTTTCCGAGAATACTACGTGAGTAATCCCATATCACATCAAAATCATCACGAATGAGGAACGTTAAACAAAGAATTTTAATGGATTTCTATTCGTTCAAAAGGATTTTCTCAAAGGATTTCTATTCCTGTAACAGAGATCGTACCGCCTTAACAGACCCAGGCAATATTCAAATAGCTGCCACCCCTGCTATGTAGTGGACTAACTAGATTATCCATGCATGTAATGCCAACCCCCAGCCTTAGCAACTGCGAGGAACATGTGATTGGCCACTTAACAACGGCCCCATTGAATTGCATGCATTCATACCGTAGTAGCCCATTGAGAGTATATGTCACTAAAATAAGTCTAATGGCCTAGCTAGATACTAGTAGGTGAAAGGGCTTTGAGTGTGGAATGCCTCATCGCTGATATAGGAGGTTATGTTTCGATAGGAAATATGATAAAAACGCACCAAGTTATAAACATGATTTTCCACAGCTGAAGGGTCATCATATATCAATAGGCTTTCTAAGACGTTCCTTCTAAGGCGTTCTTTCTCTACATACCCTGGCGCCAACATACGCACTTATAGGCGAGACAGTAGGATTCTACTACTGAAAATAGGATTACATAGTGAGGAAGAAGCAGCACACGTATATTTCCGTAAGAAGGCTTAGACTGGTGCGCACATCCCTAACCTTGCAGTGCCTGTCAAGGGGAAAATCAGCACATCATTCAGCAACCAGGGATAGTCAAGTGTTTTAGTAGCAGAAACACCAGGGACAGTGATGGTAGAGTGGGCGTCATTTTAGCACCAGGGACCGTTATTCTAGAGTGGGCGTCATATTTATTTCAAATTTTTAGTAAGTGGTATTCAGCACCAGGGACAGGGACAGCAGTTGTAAAGTGGACGGTATTTAGTACCAGGGACAGGGACAGTGGATGTAGAGTGGACGGTATTCAGCACCAGGAACAGGGACAGTGGTTGTAGAGTGGACGGTATTCAGCACCAGGGACAGGGACAGTGGATGTAGAGTGGACGGTATTCAGCACCAGGGACAGGGGCAGTGGTTGTAGAGTGGACGGTATTCAGCACCAGGGACAGGGACAGTAGTTGTAGATTGGACGGTATTCAGCACCAGGGACAGTGACTGTAGAGTGGACGGTATTCAGCACCAGGGAACAGGGACAGTGGATGTAGTGTGAACGGTATTCAGCACCAGGGACAGGGACAGTGTGATGGTAGAGTGGACGGTATTCAGCACCAGGGACAGTGACTGTAGAGTGGACGGTATTCAGCACCAGGGACAGGGACAGTGGATGTAGAGTGGACGGTATTCAGCACCAGGGCAGGGACAGTGACTGTAGAGTGGACGGTATTCAGCACCAAGGACAGGGACAGTTATGGTAGAGTGAACGGTATTCAGCACCAGGGACAGGGACAGTGATGGTACAACTGCTGTACTATTGTTGTGCTATCTGCACCGTGTATTTGGCAATAGCTATAGGAGGAATGTCATGGTCATTT